AGCACCGGGCACCCGCTTTCCCCAGAGCATCCTCCTGCCCGGAGGAGGCCCCGTTGCGCCCTCTCCCATCCCATCGCTGCCTCGGTGTCCGCACCGGGGACAAGGATGTGTCTGCTCTTGGTGGGCAAAAGCAAAAAAAAGCTTTTGATGGCCAGCAAGAGCAGGGCACCCACAAGCCCACTGTGGGAACAGCTAACGTCTCGCCCGCTGCTGGTCTCTCTGCAGGCACCATCTCCGTGGATTTCAAGCACACTCAAGCCCTGGCATCTCCAGGCTTCTGGGGCCGGGACGCTGCTACTTTGGCGGGGAGCAGATGCCACGGCGGAGAGAGGGTCAGCACGGAGATCCACCCCTCACCCCAACCTCTCAGCCCATGGGTGACACGGAGATGCCACCGTAGGGAAGAGAGACTGCGCGGAGCTCCCGGAGTTGGGGCTTATCTTCCTGGTCCTGGCAAGGAGGTTTTTTTCTACTCCTCCCTTTGTGCTTAGGAAAGGGTTTTTGTCACCCACCTGCCTGTTGGGTGTCTGCGACCTGCCCTCGCTGGGTGACCGGGACTCGCGCCGCCGCTCCGGCGACTCGTCGTGCGCCTGGGGACTCCTCTCCTCCGAGTTGCAGCGGGAGATGTCGGGGGACAGCAAGTGCTTGCGCTCTTTGGATCGCCCCCGCTCCCTGCCACCCGAGCGATGCCCGTCGGACCGGTGGCCTGCAGGGCCCCCCCATCAGTCCCCTCCATCCCCTCCCCAGGAGTGGGAGATGCTCGGCTGGGTTGGGGGTTTTTTTCGGGATGGGGATGGGGGTCGCCCATCCTTGCTCACCCGAGTCGGCGTTGAGGCGCCGGGCGGAGAGCTGGAGCGAGGAGTGGTAGCTGCGCCGGCGGGACTTGTAGGTGTTGTCGCTGCTGCGCTCCATGGAGAACTCATCCAGCCAGGAGCTGTTGGTGCGCTTGTCCCGGATGGTGGAAAACGATCGCCGCATCGAGCTGGTGTCCGTCACCACCTGCAAGCAACCCCGGCCGGCCGGGGAGGGGGTTAGTGCAGGGCAGGGGTCGGGGGGGACAGCGGTCAAGCAATTACCGGTTCACCCATTATCACTGTCACACCAGTCACTGGGATGGGGAGATTTGGGGTGGGGGGCAGCCAGCCTGAGCACAGCCCCCCCCATATAATTTCTGCACAAATCAGGGGCGGGAGGAGAGTGGGGTTTAGCCTTCGTGCTCGCGGGGTCCCCTTCCCCAGCCGGTGGGGATCCACGCTCCACAGGCAAAGCCAGCGACCGCGATTCAGGCCAAGGTGCTGCGTGTCAGGGGAAGAGCAGCAGCATCCCGCCCCCGGCCCGGGGACATGGAGGGTGCCAGACCATCGCCCCTCAGGCTGCCTCAGCATCCCTCCCCGCCCTGAAAACAGGGTCAAGTGGAGCAAACAGAGACACTGAAGAAGAAATGATTGACAGAGAGGGGATCCTCCAGTGCCCCTCACTCCGTGTTTATTTTCCCAGCTGCTGCCACTTTTCCAGACCCCTCCCAGGTCCTCCTTTATTCCCGCATCCCCATCCCATTCCCCTGCCCTCATTCCCTCTCTCCCCGCTCACGCTGTTGTTTTATCTTCCCTCTCCTTTTCTTTCTCTCCCCCATGCTTCTCCTTTCTACCTTCTCCCCTCCTTCTAGCTTGTGTTCTCACGTGTTTTATGGTAAACATCACCTCCTTCTACATTTTCCTTTGCTTTATTCTAGCAGCTTTTTGCCTCCGCAGCCTCGGGCCATTCTCCCTGTCTCCTCTCCTCGCACCGTACCCTTTCTTGCTCCCATCCCCTCCTTCTGATCATCTCCCTCGCTGCCGAATGGTCAATAAAGCCCATGAGGCAAAGCCTCCCTTCCTCTTCACGCCTCCCCCAAAGTGCCGTGACGTGTCACACCAGCACTGACGCCAGGACCTGGTGCTTGCGCCATAACCTCTGTGAGAAAGCAGACCCAGAGACTCCACAGCAAAACCGAACCCCATAAAAGCGTCTGTGTCTCGGAGGAGGCTGAGTACAAGACAGAACAACAGAGAAACCAGGCAGACAAACGAGGAGGTGAGATGTGGCCTGGGTTCCCCTGGACAGATGGAGAAGCGTGTGCATTAGGACAACGGGAAAGGAAGGAAAAGGTGTTTCGTCACCTGGGAGATCATCTGACAGCTGGGCTGGGACTCCTCAAACCTCAGCCAGCACCCAGGACTGGAGGAAAGGAGGGGTGTCCCACTGCGGGGGGATCCCGCAACCTCCCGGCGTGGCCCTGCTCCACCGTGGACCTCCCGCATGAGCCAGGAGATGGATTCCCCTGGCTGCTCTCTGCTGCCAGTCTCTCCCGTGTAGGGGGGCAGCAGCGTTCCTACTTGTGCAGCACCCCAAAGATGGGGAGATGCTCCGATGTCGGGGCACTGGGGAAGCCGTGGGGCTCACGGGACTTGCTCAGCGTGGAGAGAAGCCCCAGCGTTACCTGGTAGGCTTTGCTTGGACCCGGCACCCGTGGGGGCTTTGCTTGGTTTTACCTGGGGATCCACAGTGAGACGAGGCATGGAGGAGGCCCTCCCAGAGACAGCGTGGTCCTGAGTGTCCACGGGAAGGTAGCTGCCACGGTTAGAGGGCTGCACTCTTTGAAACTCCCTAACCTCTGGCTCCTGGAAACAAACACACAGCCGAGCTCTTGGGATGGGGTTGGAGCAGGGCAGCACGCTGCTTCTGCCCCGTTCGCAGGGGACAGCTCAACCGGGGGCGGTTTCAAGTGGGCCAAAAAGGGAGTTTAAGTCGTATCATCCACCGTGTCACCCCTGAAAAACAACCTGCGATTCGCAGTCCGTGGCAGGTGAGCCCAGATGCGGTGCTTCAGGCTCGCCTGATGGCCAATTCATCTCGCACCTCCTCAGGTGGACCTGGACCCTGCGGACAGCCTGACTGCTGGGCTTTGACTCCTCCTCCCTTTGCCAGAAGGGGACACACGCATGGGATTTTCTCTCTGACCTTGCTTTTTCTGGCCACATCCTCGTTAAAGGAAAGCACATCATTCATGGCACCTTGGCGCTTTGGTCAATTCCCAATTTAGGGGACTCTTTTGTAGAGGACGTGGTGCCAAGGAGATGGGCAGGGAGTGACCCTGGAGATCCGCTAGCAGGTGACTTTCTGGGGAGGAGGGAGTCTCATCTGCCACCTCCAGGCTGGCAGGACGGTGGCACGGCCGGGGTGGCCGGGGCAGGGGACGCCCACCCGTGCGGTACACAGCTCACACAGAGTACTACGGACCCCGGGGACACGGACTGGGCTGGAGATGCACAGTGGTACAACACTGCATCCGACAAGTGTCGGGGTGGTGCACAAATGCACACGCACAGACATGGAGGGAGGTATAGAGAGATATGTATATATATATACACACAGACAGACAGACAGACAGTGCTGCTGCCGGCCGGCGTGTGTGTGAGGCCGGAGGGGTGTGCTCCCGTTGGAGACAGTCTGACAGCTCGGTTTGGGACTGGGGACACCAGCACTGACAACAAAATGAACATGAATCCGAAAACATCAGATACCATCACTCAGCACGGGGTAACCCACTGAAATGAGCGCTCAGTGGAAAAAAGAGCAGCCTGTGAAGAGAAGGATGTTTTACTGCAGGACATCGCACCCCGGTCGCAGCTCTCACCCAAAAGCACTTGCTGCTGCCCGGCCCCGCGGGCCAGGGCTGGTCCAGGGCTGGCCACGTCCCCAGCGCCCAGAGATGAGGGGCCAGTGCCCCAGCTGAGGGACACCCGGGGATGTTTATCCCCTGCTTTGGATCCATGTGTGACCCAGCAGCTGCCACCCCTCCGCTGAGCTCGCTGCCACAGGGGCTGGGAGCAGCGTTTCACTGCCGTGCTGGCAGCCCCACACCTCCCCGTGCCCACCAGCATCCTCGCTGGGACCGCAGGCGAGCGCCCGCCAGGCAATGCGTGACTTTACCAGAGACTGGTGCTCCTGGAACTGCCCGTGGGCCGGATCCATGCACGCCAGCTGGAAGATCTCCTGGGGCGAAAGCGGGCTCAGCGAGGGGAACCCACTTCGGCTGCTCCTGCAAAGACAGCCCGGCTTCAGGAAGGCCACAAGCTGGCTGCTGCCATCGCTGGGCATCGCCTCTCTGGTAGCTCAGAGCTGGGGAGCAACTGTGCTTGCCCCCCCCCAGGCTGTCAAGACCCCCAGGACAAACATCATCTTTGGAGAGCTGAAGTGGTGCCCAGGCAGGAGAGGACACCAGTGCCTCAGGTGCCGCGGCAGCAGCGGGGACATCCCGAGTGCAGTGCCAGCAACTCCCGCCAGCCAGGGTGCTGGGATCCCCCGCCGACCCTGCACCACCCAGGAACCTGCTGCTCAACTGCTCCCGAGGTTCAGGTCCATCTCAGAGCCCTCCTCGGTAAGAGAGCTTACACCTAGTGTTGGGATGGTCCTGCAAGAAGAGCATCCGTGCAGACACCTGGCCATCCCCCTCAGCCACCTCCACTGCTGTCGGTGATGCTGACGCACACCAGCGACCCAGGATCCCGCAAAACCTTCATGCTGGGAGCTTTTTGCCCCGGACTGAGTTTCCCCTGCTCCCAGCAGCGCTTTAACCCTCTGTGCATCCCAGTGCCATCTCCAGAGAACAAAACAAAGGCTGCAGGAAGACAAAAGCAACAGGAATACCTCCCTTCTTCTCAGGGCAATACTCACAGGCCCGAGAGGGTGTCCTGCTGGAGGTAAGGCAGAGCCTTCGCGTTCGAGATGATTTCCTGCGGCAAGGAGGACGGCTCCATGCGCTGGAACATGGGGGCGTTTTTCTGTATTGAGGAAAGGAAGAAGCTGAGCCTGTAGGAAATGCAGATGAACATCCAGTGCTTCACCAACCAAGTCCCCCCAGCTTGAGCAGGCAACAGCGTGCTCATGATCGCCGTTGGGGGCTGAGGACGCACGTATGCACACCTTGTAGTCACCAAAGCCCAACCTCTACCACCATCCTCATCCCTCAGCTGTATCCCGTGCAGCTTGGCTGCATGTGACGTGGTAGGAAGCAGCGAGGGTGCCCTGAACTCCCCCCCCCGTCCTGCCCACCGCGCGCCCTCGCTGAGCCCCACCTGCTCCTCCAGCTGCTGCCGCTGCTTCTTCGCTTTGCTCTGCTTGTAGTAATCCATGATCATCATGGCTGCATATATTTTGCCAACAGTCAGGTCAGAAGCTGAGAGCATAAGAGGGGAAGGGAGCGGGGGTGACACTTTTGTCGTAACAGAAACAGCAGGTCTGAAGGCACCAACACGGATCTCGGGAAGAGCCCTGCTGTGGGATACCCTGGTGACCCTCGAAGTCTGCTTACCGCTCCAAAAGAGAGATGAACACCCAGACACCCCACACAGAGAGAAAATGGATGGAGGTGGCTTGAAAGCATCGTCATAAACCACCAAGATGCACAGCTTCATCACACCATCACATATTATGGGGCAAATGATGCTCAGCCTCCTGCCCTTGTATGCTCCAGAGATGACTTACAGGAGACTCGGGGTTTGGCAGGAGTAGATCCCTGCAAACTGGGCAGTTTTCAAGAGGGTTCTCAAGCAGCCAGGCCAAGCAAGGCAGAAGTCAGCCTGTAGAACACAAACCCTTTTCCCACTTCTCCCCCAGCTGGGGATGGGTCTGACTGGTCCCCACCTCCCTTTGGGAAAAAGCTGCTACAGGTATGATGGAAATTTGACAGCGGTGACAGCACCCGCAGAGACTCACTTTTTGGCATGGGTACCAACAGGTCAAGCATCTTCTGGGACAGGTGAGGCCAAATGGTCAGGATCTCCTTTTGAAGCTCGGAGTCTAACTGCTGCCAATCTGCACCACCTTGAACAGCGAGGGGCAAAAAGTGGCCCATGTACCTCAAGACCTGGCACCAGGGTCCAACTAAAACCACCCCTTTCCCATCCTGAAGTGAGGTTCACGAGCAGCAGCCAGCTCTCTGGGCTGGGAGGGCCATCTTGCACCAGCGAGCCTGGTCTCCTGCTCTCGCACGGAAACTCTCCTACCATCCCTTCCATATGTGCCTCCATCTCCCCATCCCCTGCCCTCCCACTCAAAGCTGCCATCTTCAAGCTCGCCTTGGGTCCGTCTCTGCGGCTCCAATCCTACTCCAACCCACACACACCTGCTGCTGCCCCACTTTCTCTTTTCTGGTGAGCGGATCATGTGCTGGTGAAAGAGCAGCTCCGCTTGGTTGAAATCCTTAAATACTCGGCAATGCTGCGTAAGGAGGAGAGCAGAGCTCTCTGGCCAGCGGTGAAGGGATTTGCTGAGCTGAGGAAGACCCAGGCTCAAAGGGAGCTCTCAACGCACGCCAACCGGAGACACCCCAGCCTGAAGGCAGCTCTGCTGAGCTACAGGAGACCCAGGTTCAAATCTCTGCTTTATCTAGAGGGGTCTGAACCCAAGGACTTGTCTCAGCACTGGGCTTTTGCTGATATCTTGCCCTGGGTTGGGTTTTTTCCCAACAGCTGAGCTGTTCCCAGGGGATGTTTTACTGAAAATGGCATGTTTTTGCAGAAAGCTTTTGATCTGATGAATCAGAGCATTTCCAGCAACAACAACAAAGCAGGTTTTCCTGCTCTGAACATTTTATCTTCCCTGAGAGAGAGAGAGAGACTTCTGTTCCCCACAGCCTTAGGAAGCCAAACACACGCGATCTTTTCCCTCCTTGGTTTGGTTTTGTACGTGGGGAGGAAGGGGAATTCTCTCCCTGCTCCATGACACAGTGGACACCAAGCTGTTCCTGCTCTCCAGAAGCAGCTTCCAGTGGGAAAACTGGCCGCCTCTTTGCTAAAGAAATAGATTTTTTTATATAAAGAGGCAGAAATTTGTATGTTCAAGGTAATCACTTCCATCCACGTGCCGGGCTCTGGGTGACCAACCCTAATTCGGCTGTGATGTCCTCAGCCTTCCCAAAGGACCAGTGCTGGTCGCGCTGAAACCCTCCTGGCTCTGTCCCCGCTCTACCCCATCGACCATACCTTTGGCAATTTTGATGTCCAAGGCCGTGCGTATCAGCGCCATCAAGGTGGAGGTAAAATGGACCGTCATGTCCTCGGCCACGGGCATGTTCATCAGCACCAGTCTCTGCGCAAGAGAGAGAAGAAAACAGCGGACGGAAAACAATATCGAAAAACACATCGACCAGGCTGGAGGAAAAGAAATTAAACATTAAACAAAAGGGAAAAAAAAAATTAAAATTAAAAAATAAAAAGCAACAAAGAGTGTCAGAACAGCACAGCCAAAAAAGAAGGGCAAGGATCACCCCGCCACCCCGGCTCCTTCCTCCCCAGGACACCGGCTCACTGCCTTCCAGGGCTCCTCCTGCGCCCCAGGAACGGCCCCTGAGCCCCCCGCCCCACGGCACCGGGGCTGCGCCGGCACCTCCCGGCACTTTTGGGAAGACACGCCTGACCCATCCATCAGGGATGCGGGCGTGGGGAATGCTCGGGAAGGGGAGAGGGGGCTCAGGTTTCCGTTCCCGAGGTGGTTTGGCTTTCAGCTCTCAACCCTTCCCACCTGGGGCAGGGGAGAGGAGGGTCCCTAACCTTCAGGGACTTCAGAGCGGCTGGATTCCTCTAGCATGCTACATCCTGGCGCTCCCTTTTTGCATCTTTTAGAGATGAAGTTTGCCAGCACATGCACAGGGTCCAAATTATCCAAGGGTGGGGAAGGGAAGGAGGGGTAGAAAAAGTGCAGAAGGAAAGAGAGAAGGGCAACCAAGGCAGGTTAGACACGCCATGCTCCTTCCCCACCCTGGGCAGGCGGGATGCAAACCGAAGTGACCAGATCCACTTTCCAGAGAGTATATTTTGCTTTGTGAATACCTTGGGTCATCCCTTCCCTGCCCGTTCCTTTTCCCCTGGCTTCTCATGTCCTTTCCTTGCCTTCAAGCCTCCCTTTTGTCCCTGGAAAAGTGTGATGGTGGATGTACGCATGCGTGAACAAACACGTGAGAGCTGGAGAGGGTGGCAGCGCGTTTGCAAGTGTGCAGAAATCCCCCCTTCGCTAGCCCTGAATGCTGCTGAAAGGGCTGTGGGCAGCAGCCGCCCTTGGCCAAGAAAAGCTTCAGTTTGCTCCAGACCTGGGCAACACATTGCTCTGTAGTTCTGGGTCTTGTCCTAGCAACTGCTGTCCTCAGCAAAGCCACACAGCTCCCACCCCGTGTCCTTCAAGGCTTCCCATGCCGGGAGCATGCTGTGCCTGTGTCATGAGCCAGCCACTGCCCCAGGAGGAACAAGGGGGTGAAACACCTTTTGAAGGCACCTGGCTTTGCCTTGCACGAGCTATCCCTGGGATAGCTCGTGCCAATGCACCTGGCTCCTCAGGCGCTGCAGAGCTGCTCCTACAGGATATGTCCTTGCCGCCCACCTGCTTCCCTTCTCCACGGGCTTCAGCCCTGTTTCTGCGCTGGCCGGGACAAGGATGGTTCCAAGCCCGGGGGATGAGCTTGGGTCAGTGAGCTCCTAAGGACATCGCACTCTCCGGACTGTGCTACGGGGTTGCTCCTCACCTCATCTTCTCCAGCCCTCCCACTTCCACGCTATTGCTGATCCTGCCCCTTCTCTTCCGCTGGGGTCTTCCACCCCAGAGCTCCCTGGGCTTGCGAGTGACCACGTCAGCCTCACATGTGTGGGCAGTGGAGACCAGCCAACGTGGCCAGGGCTCTTCTGAGCACACCAGGCTCCGCAGGAGCGAGCTAAACACGTGTTGGATACCCCCAATGCCTCCCCGGCTTCCCACCAGCCCCACCTCCCGCAGCTCCCTTGAGCCCCGGCTCCTGCTCGGCTCTGACCCCCGTAGAAGGAAGGGTTGATCTACCTTATAGGCCACTTTGGAAGGACATCTCTTGCCGAGGCCTAGCGGTGGTGACATAAGAGTCAGCATTTCATACATCTCAGTGTAATGGATTCGGCCACTGCTCATGAAGGGGGAAGGGGAGGGAGGGAGATGCAGAGAGAGAGGAGGCATTCCCAGAGAGCAGAAAAACGTACAAACAAAAATAGTACAGGAAAACAGGAGAGAAAAAACAAACGGACAAACAGGAAAAGAACAGGAAACCCGTTAATCAAGGCAAATCATACATGAGAGACTGTCCTGATGTGGATTTATAGCACTGCTCACACAGACCCAGGAATGCTGGCAGAAAGCAACTCACCCCTCTCCTCTCTGCTGCTGGCCTCAAGCGCCTGTCTGTCTCTCTAGCAGTCTGGGAGTCCTCCTCTGCTCTCAACCCCTTTCCTAAAGCCCTCCAGCAGCCCCCAACTTGTCCCACAGGTTCCAGGGCTGTGTGCGAGTGGTATAAATCAGATACACGGCACTCAAGCCATGGGTTATTTGAGATAACGGTGGTTTGCACCACAGTGCTCTGTGGCCTCCGTAGCGTCTTCCCTCCCGGGGGGAACCTGGGTATTTCTTTGCATCGCCACCTAACCCATAGCCGGAAGGCTGTGTATCCCCAGCTCATAAGGTCTATGCAATTGGGAGGCAGCATCTTGCATAGAAGGCAGTGGGCCAGGGTCACTTGTCAAAGGAAGATGCCCAGTTGCTTCCGTCTGGCTCTGCGGATGGACCACTTTCCCACCATGCACCAGTGCAAAAGGCATGCTGAATTGGCTGAAAAAACAAAACTGGGAGGAAAAGTTGTACATGCCATGCTCCCGCCCTGGCTCTCTCCCACATGCGGCTGCAAGTTCCACCAGGTTGGAGTTTAAAGAGTCTCAGCAGAGGCAGCTGTTTGGGTCTTCCAACATCGGGGTTCGTTTGGGTTTCCCAAGGGAGGCAGCTAGGATGGACCCCCACCTCGCACTCCTCTGCTCTGGAAGGACCTGCCTAGGATTACTGCAGTGAGGAACGCTACCAAAAATGGGCCACCCAGTGATGCTTTGAACCCTCTGCCAGACTGACATATTTGGCCTGTGTGTGTGTCTCTCTCTCTGCGCATCCAGGAGGACACTCAAGTACATCTCCCAGGGATCCTGGGCTTGACCACCTCTTCTTCCCCTCATGCCAGGCTTCTGACCTGCACCACAACATTCAGGATGATCAATGGGCAAGGACAACCTTGCAACAGCAAAGGCATCAACCCTTACAGCTGGACTGGGAGGATGCTGCTGGAGAGGAACCCATCTCAACCAGAGTGGCCTGGGAGAGAGGGCACCGTCAAAAAATTGAGCATTCCCTGCGGGATCTTGGCCTCTTCCCTACCCATGTGCTCTGAGCAGTGTGGAAAGTGGAGAAGAAGAAATCTCCTCCTCTCAGGGGGTATCACTGGTTTGGAAGCGGTACCCTGGCCAAAGAGGCCATCACCAAGGTAAGTCCTGACGTTTAGAATGTGAACTAGAGATGGTGATGACCTGCAATGGGAGCTCTTTGGGGTGCAGGCATAGAACAGGCTGGGCAAGCCATCCCCTTTGAGACCTGACACACCTGAACAAAAGAGGATTGATAACAACACTGGAGACCATTAAGTGAGATGATCAAGAGGAAATATCCAGGTCCAGGAGTCCGTAAGCAGTGTCTTGGCAGAGCTGGATGTGCACTGGCTCTAGGTATCTGAAGAGAAGATGACTTGAAAATTTTCATGCTCAAGAACTTTGTGCAAAAAGGAAGCAAGACAGTGATCTTCCACCCACCCATCCTGGCAGGGGGCATTTTAGCACACCCAGCACACATCAGACACTGTCTTATGTACTGAGATTCTCCGCACAATGAAGGAGGAATGGATTCCCACGAAAGGAAGAGTTCGCAGCAGTAACCAAGAAGGACTGCAGGAGAACTGTGCTGTTCTTACAGACGGGCTGCACACTTTGCTGCTTCTCAGAGCAGAGATCTTAAAGCGTTTTGAGCAGCACAGCAGCGCCCAGAAACCACATCCCCATGGAGCGAAGCACAGGAAGGCACATGCAATGTCATCCATCTGAACAGGATGGCTCCCAGGAGCTGGTCCCAGCACGGGTGCATCCTTGATGGGAGAGCTGGCCATCTGTCCTGTGTCTGGAACGGAGATGTGCCCTGTGGCTATGGCGCAGGGTGGCCTGTAAAACCGCCAGGCAGTAATGGCTTGGTCCTGGTGCTCCGAGAGAACTCTGTGAGTGATGGAGAAGGACATCTGGGGGACATCTGTCCTCCTGTGGTTTGGAAATAAGTACTGTGCCGTGCCAGGCTATTAGGAACAGAGTACCAGAATAGCAAGTGATGTGAGAGTAGATTCAGGAACAGGAGATGTCCACAGGGACATGAATGTCTGTGGAGCATTTGCCTGGCCCATGACCATCTCAAGGGCTACTTTTAGGGGGCAAAGGTGATGCCCACCTCCTTGGCTCATTTTTGCATGACTGCTAGAAGTGGATGTGTTGAAGAAAGCCAGAGATTGCCCCAAGGAGCAGAGCTGGCTGCCAGGATGCAGTCCCAGCAAGATATGATTACAAGACCTGCTCTCCCCAGCATAAGACAGAGCTTGCTGGACTTCTCAGAAGTCTTCCTGCATCAATGTCCCTTTGTTAGCCCACCTGCAGATGGCCTAGTGGGTATGCTTCCATACCGTTCTGCACCCCTATGCAGCATCCTGAACTTGCCCAAGCACCGTCTCTTCTAGAACAGGCTGTCCACCACTCCATAAACACTTTGGTGTTTGTTTCTGCAAGTCATCGTTGCCATGTTGCCTGGCAGAATAGAGGTGTGGGCTCCAGGAAGGTGAACCCGTACACTGTGATGTGCAGGGCAGGCTCACCAAACTGAAAGGTGAGCAAGTCAGGCTGGCATTTTGGGATCTGGACCATGGTGGCAAGATGCCACAACCACGTGATTTTCTTTCTTCATCAATTGCCTTTTGGGAATTGTTCCAGGGGAGTAGGAATCCCTGAAAATCTCTCATGTCCTTGAAATACGCCATGCACAGAGAGGAGGAGACCAAGGTAACACAGGGAAGAGATGGGGATGGTCTCCCTCACATGACAGCAGAAGCTGGTCTCACTCTCTCTGCCTCCACCTCCCCTTGAGTTTATCCACCTTCACTGCTCTGTCCATCCCACAGAGCCAGCAGAAAGCCCAGACTGCTGCAGACCTCCCTCTTCCCAGGAAGCATTACAGGAACCCTTCTGAGCACCAGGTGATCCAGCTTAGGAGAGCAGTGTTTGCCAGTGAAGCCCTGATGCCAATTGAGAAAGACTAGAAATTCCTCCTGAAGGTGTCTTCTGTCTGCAGGGACCTGAGCAAGTGTCCTCAGCAAAGCCAACATCCTTTGCCAGGGATGAAACAGAGAAGAGTGGAAAGACTACAAGGAACCCCTCCTTGAACAGACGAGCCATCTGAGATTCTTGCAAGAAATCTCCTGTCCCTAAATACCTCTTCATAAATGAGATGACTGAGCATTCAGACCTTGTCTTGCTTGCTCTGCTTTACTTCTGGTGGTCTACTTCAAGATTTCAAATGTGTGCATCATCTCCATGACCAGCTGTGGAGGGTGACAGACCCATTCCAGGGATGCTGACTGGAAGAAGCATTACTGATGCGGTGAGAAGGACGTGGTGGCTACACCATGCCACACCAAGGAACCCTCTTTCTCTGCAGGGCCAAGATCAAGGGCTGGGGGCATCTGAGCTTCCCTTGTTCATCTCCTCAGGAGCACAGAGGGAAGATCAAGCTCTGCAGTTCATCCTTTCATGCCACGGATGCAAACATAGGCATCGTGGCACTTTGGAGAAGGTGGGAGGCACAGGATTTTGCTCAACTGTCACCCAAAAATAAAATTTAAAAAGCCCCATACAAGTCAGAGAGACACAAGGAGGCCAAATCGCTGCCATGGACTCATGTCCAGCAGCCAGGAGCTTGGGTCAAGCAGAGGGAGAGGAGCTGTTGAGCTCCAGAGCTGTGCCCAGATGCCACCACCTCCCAAGCAGGTCCATGAAGGAGCAAGTCTTGCTCCCCAGAGACGTGGTTGTGTGTCCTCCAAGTGCCACACTTAAGGAAGAGCCTGTTGTGTACAGCACGGCATCCTCTAAGGATAGGGGTCACCTCACCCTGGCCTCCCCGTCTTCTCTCTAGACCTCACTCTGCAAAACAACGGCAAAGTCCCCGAAGTCCTCCTGCCTTCGCTCCCTTCCCTTCCCACCCCAGGAGAAAACCACATCTGAGCCCCCCAAAAAAGTCCTGCTCCCACTTGAGGACACTTTGAAAAGCCCAGCAGGGACAGTGGCATTTGGCCTGGCACCCTTCGGGAGCTCTCTGCGCCGATGGAGCCGGGGCGGGGGGCTGGCTGGTGGACGCAATTTGTCGAAACCCACCCCAGGAGGCTCTGAGCCCCGCCTGGCCCCACTCATGCCTCCCCTCGAGGGGGACAGCTGCTGGCTCTGGGAGGCCGCGGACCTCTTTAAACTCGAAGGAAAGCAACGTCAGGGTTCCCTCGGGAGGCGCGGTGGCGGTGGAGCGGGGGGGAAGGAGGGGTGGATGGTGCGTCCCGTGGCCAGGTTGTGGCGGAGGACTGGGAGGCAAACCTTGCACGCCACCCTGTAGGGGCAGTTCTCTCCTAGGCCCAGAGGAGGCGAGATCACCCGTACTAATTTGTACATATCCTTATACGAGATCCTGCCGCTGCAAAGGAAGCACAGGTGGGTTAATAGGACACTGAGAGGGTGGAGGGGAGGATGGAGAGCTTAACTGGGGGAGGCTGGGGCCATCTGTGGGGCAAGACCCCCGGGGTGCATGGCTCTTCTCCTTCTGGCTCTGTCAGACCCAGAGAGGGGAAAGCTGTGAGCATCAGCTACTGCCTTCTCCACCATGAGTCAGCTCATACCTCCTCACGCTGACCCATCTTGACCCGGAGAAGGACAGTTTTGGCAGTGAACACCACCCCATCACCTTTCTTCTCATCGTGCCCCTGGCTGCCTTACGCCTGGTGGGAGAGGGCTGGGGTTTTAGACGGGGTGAGCCTACAGCTTGGTTGGATTCTAGCCACCACGAGGCCTTTTGATGGAGTTGTGTCCCATCACACCACAGGAGAGCCTGCCCTCGCACAGCCAACTCTCTGGTCCTCACAAGGTCCCAGGGAGGTTGGCAGCTGAGTCATTTGTATCTCCAATATCTGGGGAACCTGAGACGGGGAGACATAATGTGACCAGCTGGTGGCTGTGGCACTAGCACCTAGGTCTCTCGTGGTCCAGTCCTGTGCTCCGACCACCAGACCACGCTCTGCCAAGGGTACACATTATTAGAAGCAAACCCTCCTGTACACACACCCCTTCTCGCCCACAGAAGCACATCTCCCCAGACCCGGGTGCAGTCATCGCAGGATACAGCCCGTATCCCTCCTGCACCGGCTGAAATAACAAAGCAGTCGAGATGGAGAGCTGGCAGGAGAGGGTGCAGGGGCCGTCGGATGCGGAGGTCCCCACTCCGCTCCAGAGCAGAACCCTTAGGGAAGCAGGACCGTGTGGGGTGGAAGCGCTGAGGTGCAGTGTGCTGCAGCCTCCTGGGCATCCTTAGACAAGCTTGGATGGAAACCGCACAAGGAGGCAAAGATTAGCGTTACCGTCCAACCTGGCACCTTTGCCTCTGGTTTCTCCTTGCTCTTCTCCCATCCCTTCTCCATTGCTGGCCAGAGCTAACCCAACTATCTGGGCAAAACCCATATCTGAGCCCCCCCGGTGCTGGGCAATCTCCTCACGAGACTTTCACGTCACGGTCCCGGTGTCAGGATGCAGAACGGCTGCCCCACTCAGTTGGTGGGACCCGTTCAGATGTACTCACCCGTTCCTCACACAGCAACGGGGGCCAGGGCTGCCCCCCACGGGCCCAGCACCACCGGCTCCTGTGCACGTCCCCTAACCACTAGCTACATATCATGACGAAAGAGCGTGGCTTGCTCAGAAATCAGAGGGCTGCATGGCATCAATAGGACAGCTCGGGCATGCTGTTACACTGTCCTGGAGACCCAGGCCACCAACGTGGGGGGTGAGAGTGAATGAAGTGCCTGATGTGAAGAAATCCTGTGAGACACCCCACACTGAGCAGCTGGATGTTTCACCGCTCTCACCTCCTCTCCCTTCTCTAGTTGTCCATCAGGACTTCTAGTCACCCATGCTGACCTCTCCTCCTTGCACAAGGCATATTCACCCGCTAACAAGCAAACCCACCTGCCCACGGGAGCCTTGCACAGCAACAAGAGTGCTGGAGGAGGCCGTGCGGGGAGGAACCTGGCCAGCGCTGAGCTGCACAGGGTTGGACAGAAACCGTGGAGAAAACTATACAAGGAGCTGATGATATTAGGCATAAAAAAAAAATATCCTGGCTGGAGCTGGTTTCTCGAGGGGCAGGATATTAGTAGTGGAGGTGAAAAGTCTCCAAAGGCAGCTGCCATGGGCTCTCAAGCTAAGATCACCCACGCGGTACTGTGTCATGGCTCCAAAGAGGTTGTCCCTGGGCTGTGGGAGGGAGGAAGGGGCCACACAGGCACCCTCGCAGTGCTGGGGCTGAGTGGAGGACAAATGTGCTCCCAGAGCTGCTGAGGGCTCCACACTGCCCTAGGGATGCTCCAGACCATCCTGGGAGGAGCATCAGAGGGCAGCTCATCTGCAGGAGCAGCAGGAGCGGAGTCAAGGCCCAGCCACCCAGGGTACATACGGCTGCTGTGAACCCATCCCATCACCGGGAACAGGCTGCTGCCTGCAAACAGGAGCCCTCTTTGCTGGGGTCCTCATCAGCAGAGGCATGAGTGCAGGAAACAAAGTCCTCCGGTCTCTAGAGGGGTGAGCAGGCTGGCCAGCAGAAGAAAAACACAATTCCCCAAACCCATCAAACACACTCCCAACAAGGTCCTCCATAGGTGACTTGGCAGGAGCCCAGCAGACCCCCAGCATCTCCCTATTGCTGGTAACAAGCCGCACTCTGACAGGGAGCTGTGGGTGCTGGGGACCAGGCGGTGGAGCCGGTCTCAGGGCAGAGGCACCCAGCTGGTGCATGGGGACAGGGAAGGAGGCTGAGAGAGACCTGCCCGCTGGCCGGGGAGGAGAGAAAGAGCAGGAACCTCCAAGCACTCAGGATAAAGACCATGGCAAACCATGAACGTCACCCAAGATGCCTGTGCTACCAGGCGTTGTAGGAACCAGCTGCTGCCCTTGTAACAACTGCAAGGGAGAGCAGCCCTTCCCTGACCGTCCCAGGCATCGCAGCCAGTTTCCAATAGCAGAACGTAGAGACGCCTGTTTAAAATCAGCTCTGAGAGGTTGCTCAGGAGAGAAGGAGCTGGCTACATACCACGCTGCTCTGTCATACTCTGCCCAGATCCGGACAAACTCATCTAGATGGTGAGGTCCCAGGATGGAGGAATCCCGAGTCAGGTATTCAAAATTGTCCATGATGACCGCCACGAACAGGTTGAGCATCTAAGTGAAAGGGAAAAAGGCAGGGAGAAAGGAAAGTAGGGGGAGAGGGAGCAGAGATGACCCTGTGGCGGGGGTGCAGGTTGGGGGGCTGATGAGATGGACCCCCCCGCCCCAAGGGCTTTCAGGGAGGAGGAACTCACCAGGAAAGAGCAGAAAAAGATGAAGGAGACAAAGTAGACATAGGCCAGGTCGGTGCCACAACGCTCGTTCTCATTCTGCCCGGACGTCGCCGTCGTGTCTGGCTCGCAGCCTTTGCCCTCCAGGCAGGACAGCTTGATCTCCTGCCATGCCTCTCCCGTGGCACTCCTGCACCCAACACAGCCATGCTCAGCAGCTCGTGGTGGCACAGGATGGAGCCGGGGCGGGATGCCCCACAAGGAGAAGCCTCACAAGAAGCTGTGCAACCCCCTCCCCAAATTATGCACATCTCTGGCACGCAGAGAAGCAAGGCACTGGGTCAGCAGCAACCAAGCTGGACCCACACAAGTGCAGCCGTGCCAGGGTGTAGCTCCTGGCACATGGGGCCAACTGACCCCAGCCAGCTGGTTCAAAGAGCTGAGAGACAGACATCCTTTTTGGGGCAGGGTGGGGGGAAAAAGGGGTTCCTGAGCTCCTGTGGCCACGTGCTGCCCAGCTGATCTCTAGCACCAAAAGCTGACCTCCACCAAGCAGCCTGCGGCAAGAACCTGCCCAGCCTGCACCCAAAAATGCTGCCAAAGGCATTTTCTGTGGTTGCTCACCTGAAGAGAAGCATGAGGGAGCCCAGGAAGCTGCGGAAGTTGTTGTGCCGGTTAATGTGGCTTTCCTCATCTAGTTTGATATTGCCAAAAACCTACAGGAGGGAGAAAAAGGTCTGAATTATTCAGGCAAGAGCTTGGTGGCTGGGGAAGCGGCTGCATGTTCACCTTGGCTGCGGGGACCAATCCTGCCCCAGGTCCATCACCCTCGGTGCAGCCGGCCCCCAAAGCAGCAGACATCCACCCTCTCTGTGCAATCGCCCGTGAAGAAGCACTCCAGCAAATGCATGCCGGTGCACAGCCAGCACGCTGAGGAGCTGGCACCGAGCATCCATCAGGGAAGGAGACTCTCCTCTCCTCAGCAGGGATGTGTGGTGGGTGGCAGAGGCTGCGAGAGGCCGAGCTGCCATGGAAACAGGAGCACAGAGGACCTGGGATCATCCAAGTCCAACCGCTCCACATCCATCCCTCTGCTGCGCTACGGGCGGCATCCGAGCACCGCACAGCAGCCGGAGGTCCTGAGCGTGCTGGAAGCACGGGGACAAATCATACCACCCTGGGTGGGTGCTGGGTCCTGGTCCTGGAAACTCCCAGAAGCTTTTCCCTTAGTGGGGAAACGGTCTGTGATGCTGGGGTTGGGCACAGCGATGCAAACAGGGTGGGGAGAAGCTCAGTGAGGGAGGGATAGACTGACCGCTGACCCACCACGGACAACCAGACACCTGGGACTACCATCCCCAGGGTCAAAAGAAGCAATGAAGCCCCAATCATGGACAATATCCTAATAACGACTCACAGCCAAGGCTGCGGTAGGACATAACGAATGTTCGTAACGTTCCTCAAATAGGAAAAATGTGCTGTTATTACCGTTAAATATTTATTCCACTTTCCGTGAACCTAAAAATATACTAACTGCAGAGTATTTTTTTCCCTGTACAGGTTTTTTGGAATGTGTAATTGTAGAATATTTTCTGCCTCCAGCTATTTTGCTCAAATAACGCCCACAGACTTTACTGCTTGGGGATTTGTTCACAATGGTGTTAAAAATTTGTTCACAATGGCTAAAAAAAAAAAAAAAAAAAAAATCAAATACTACCACACAGCAGGGAGGGGGGCTGAGTCAGATGGCGGTTGTTTAGTGCGGAGAACACCTGGAGCCGGTGCAGAGATGTGTAGGACAGAGCAGCCAAAAGCAGCCACGCGACTCTCGAGGCGGGAGAGAGGGGGTGGAAGAGACTAAACACCAGCGCTGCCAAGCAGCCCGAGCCGGGGGCCACCGCGCTGCCCACTGCCTCCCTAAAATCTGCCCGTCCTGGCAGCACACGTCGGGCGACGGCGTTGGGTACTGCGGCGGCTCGCTCATCGGGAGGCTCCGGGTCCCGAGTGTTCATCGTCGAAGATGCTTCGTCAAATTCTCGGTGTGGGATTTAGTGACTGCAGAACTGAGCCAGCCCCACGGCACGTGTGGAGCTGAGGGTTTTAGCTCGCATGCTTCTTATTTACCAGCTGGAGCCTGGAAAGCTCACGTCTTCTCATGCTCTACAGACCTCCCACCATCTGGTAGGTGGTCACAGGTCCCTAAGTGCGAGAGCCCAAGCAGACCATCCCTCCACAGAGGGACAAGGTGGATGGCAAGCTGTGGGGATCACCACCGTGATCCAGCCGTTCAGGTGGGAAAGGCAGAAGGCTGCTCACCAGGTCCCTCAGGCATGAAATCAATCTCTGGGGGCTGCTAGGGAGTTGGAGATGGGGTGTCATTTCTAAAATTGAAGTGCCTATGAAATGAAGGGGTGGTGATTTGAAAGCAGCCACAGCATGGGATGCCCAGCTGAGTCCCCAAGGTCACATCTCCACGGGTACAAGTAGGGAAGGCAGCTGTGGAGCTCGACTGAACAAGCTTGTGGCAGCTCCCCCAGGGCATGCAGCTCTGCAGCTTCCAAACAAGCTCTTCCACCCTCGGGACCTTCCCAGACACCGTGACCGAGTGAAGCAATGACAGGCAGGCACAAGGCTGGCTGCTGTGCATAATGCTGAGGACATGCTGGTCCAGCCTGTCCGCGCCAGAGGGATGCACGCTGAGATGTCTGTGCTCACCTGCATCCCAATGATCGCGTAGATGAAGAAAAGCATGGCAATCAAGAGGCAGACGTAGGGGAGAGCCTGCAAGAGAAGCAGATGAGTCATCTCATTTAGCACAGGGCCAGCTCCAAAGGAGTACAAAAAGCACAGCGAGCAGGTAAGCTCTGCTGATCCGTCTCTCCCACAAGCCAACAAGACCTTGGGAACAGCCTGCATTTGGGAGCAGCACCCCAGCACTGTGGCCTGGGAGGAGACCAGGGCACATGTGACTTGCCTTGAAGGACTGCACGAACGTCCAGAGCAGGATGCGGATGGTGTAACCCTGGCGCAGCAGCTTGATGAGCCGAGCAGCCCGGAAGAGCTTCAGGAAGCTCATGTTGAAGCTGCTGGTGTTCACCAGCTGGGAGGAGATGAGAGAGTCAGAGGGAGGCGGGAGCCCCCCACCCCGCAGCAAGTTCACCCCGCTAGTCCCAGCCCCTGCTTCACCTTGGTATCTGTCAGGATGATCTCCGTAATGCTGCCGATGACGGTGATGAAGTCAAAGATGTTCCAGGTGTCCCGAAAATAATTCTGCAAAGGGAAGGAGAGAGGGAACATGGATTTGAGCTCAGGGATGGCAGGTGTGGGCCAAGGATGCTCACGGACAACGGCGGTGGCAGCAGAGACCTTGCTGCCCATTTGTATGCAGCCACGGTCTAGAGCATCATCCTGTGTCTGAGATGGTGGCAGACCTGAGCGTGTCTGCAAGGAGCAGCTTCTCCCGGGAGACAACTCACATATCCAACAGGCCACCCTGGTGAACGGGAGCGGGACAAGCAGCCACAGCCAGTCCTGGTCAGGCTGCAACAGCTCATCACACCAACCCTCAAAGCCAGGAGGCTGCTTTGTCCTCCTCTTCGTGGACACCCAGACCCACCTCAGCTCCTGCTGTTTGTGCAGCAGCTGGTGCAAGACCAGACTTAACCACGGCTGGCACCGCTGGGAGCAGGGAGGGTGGCTAGGAACCCTCCTGCTAGTGGACCTCAACTCCCAGTATGGGTTAGAAACAGGAAAAACTCTAAAAGACCAAATCCAACAGTTGCTGATAAGCAGCAAAGAGTGGCTGAAGAAAAGGCAGTCCATGGCTTCAAATCTGAAATGAGCGGCTGGGGACTTGAGGACTGTGAATTAGGCAGGGAGGTCTCACTGCTGGTCAGGTCTGGTCCAACAGATACAGGCCAAGGACAGCAACGCACCAGCATCTTGTGGCTCCCGGGGACAAGGGACTGGAGCCGCCTTCACGATCGCAGCAGCAGTTGGCTTTAGCAGAGCAGCTGCACAGCGCATACATGGTGCAGGCACCAAAGGACCACAGAAACAAGGCAAAAAGTGAAGCAACGGTGTGGCTTCCCCCACCAGCATCCAGCAGTGGGAAGTTTAATGAGAACCAAAGGAGCAATTCCAACCTAAAAAGCAGCTCTCAGACTGGGACTCAAAATAAATAGCAACAACCTCACATTATTAACACCTTCCCTCTGTAATCTGTGTGCTGCCAAAGTCCAAATTAACACCCTCATCAAGAACAGGAGCAGCCACTCACCAGGAAGCCGAAAGCGATGATCTTGAGGACGCACTCCAAGGAGAACACCATGGTGAACGCGATGTTCAGGTACTTCAGGGCCAGCTCATAGGTGTACGGAGCAGAGTAGTACTGATGGAAAGAGAAACACATCTCTAGCCAGGAGGGGGCTGATGACTGTCCCAGGGAAGTCCTGCAGTGGCCCATGCCTCCTTCCCCTCTCCACCCCTCTCCCAGGACAGCTCCTGCTGCTTCTAAGGAGGAAGCACAGAGTAAATGCAGATGTTTCTGCAGTAGTTAAGAGGTCCAGATCATTTGGGTCATTTGATTTAGGGAAGATCTTGCCTCCAGTTTGGGGCATGGGGTGTCTCAAGTGACTATGCCAAGGGAATACATGTTCAGACTCTGTCTCAAAGCACCTCCTAGAAACAACCAAAATACCCTCTGGTCCCATCCTGATCAATCCTCCTTCTCCCCACCAACCCAAACAGGACAGGCCCACCCTGACCGGCTCACCTTCATCATCAGCACCACAGTGTTCAATGCTATCATGGCCATGATGGTGTACTCGAAGGATGGGGAGACCACAAAGTGCCAGACCCGGTACTGGAAGGTGTGCCGGTTCTGGGGCATGTACCGCGTGAGGGGCTTGGCGCTGATGGCAAAGTCAATACAGGCTCTCTGGAATAAAACAACGTGCATCAGACCTTGGCTGATGGTAACATGGGGGACAGTGGCTGCCACGCTTCTTTCCTTCATGAGCTGGGCAGGCAGGTGGCTCACAGGTTTCTTACACCTTTTCAACATCTAGGGAGCTCCAAGCTCCCAAACTGCAGAAAACCCGTGGAAAAATCCTCTTTCCCCCTGCCCCAGACCATACCTCGTTCTTCTCCAGACTGCACTCCTCCATCATTTTGTCTCCTTGCTCTTGGAACGTAATGATGATGAGAGCCACAAAAATGTTGACGAAGAAGAAAGGGAAGACCACAAAATAGACGACATAAAAAATGGACATCTCCATGCGGTTGCTCCGACTGGGCCCACGGTCCTCCTCCGTCACGTCCACCGAATGCTGCAGCACCCTGTGGGCAGACAGGTGGAGAAAAGCAACCAGAGATATGCCCATCAGGACTGCCACCACGCGGCACTTCTCAAGGGACCCGCTTCGTACAGCCAGCTCTGTCCACGCTTGTAACAATGATAAGATAAACCTCTGTCTTAACCTGCTTTACAGGACGACCTTTCTAAGTGGCTGCAGCCTGTTATACAGTGTTTTGCCTGTGGCCCTGATGGAAAATAGATTTTCCAGTGCCCCTCATACAGAGAAAAAAACTGCCCAAGCTCACATGAGCATGAAGAAAGGGCTAGTCCTGTGGTCATCTCTCAGCTTGAGCTAAGATATACCTCAGGGCCACGCAGGAGAAAGGGTTATCCATCATTCACTCCCTAAGGAAGAAGCTAAGCCCAGCCATGGTACCAGCCTCATATGGGGGCTAAAAGCTCTTTTGTCCTGACACAATGTCTTGGCCGCCTTCTCCTCCTCCCTGTCCAGCAGTTTCTCTCTCAGTCCCGCCTGGGTGTAGCCAGTTATTGACCTGACCACCCCAATGGGGATATGCCCACTCCCATTCAAGGGAGGGGACGAAGCAGAATACTCACTGGGGCCAACCCTCGCCAGTGGAGACTGTGAACAGGGTCAGCAAAGCCCAGATGATATTGTCATAGTGAAACTCATGGCGTTTCCACTCGCGGCACTTCACCTCCATCTTGTTCTTCTCATGGTCCACGTAGTTCCCTCTGCAAGGTTGGGAGAAAGCAGTGACCTTGAAGATGTTACCCAGCACCCTGCCCTTGCCAGAGGTGTCAGCAGCATCAGACCTACTGAACAGGGCACCTACATGCAGTCCTTCTCCGTGTCCTTAGAGCTGTCAGTGCAGTAGAAAAACTTCCCCTTGAAGAGCTGGACGGCAATGACAGCAAAGATGAACATGAAGAGCTTGTAGACTATGAGGATGTTGAAGACGTTCTTGAGGGAAGTCACGACGCAGTCAAAGACGGCCTGCAGGAGAGGGCATAGCTCACCTTGGGGAACCCACAGCCTTGGCAAAGGGCAGGACCAAAACCAGACTGCCATGTGGAAAGACATTTCCCACTCCTGATGGGGAAGGGAGGAAAGAGTTGGGCATTCTCCCAGGCAAAGAGCTACTTTATGAACAAGTGTAACACCTGGAGTAGCCCCCAGCACACACATAGACACCAAGTGGCCCCTGAATCAGTGGATGGATATCTATACCCTCAATGTTCTCTGCAGCCAGAGCAGCAGACAGGGGACCACCCCAGTGATGCAATTAGCAGCACTCCAGACCAATTAGTAAACACTTCATTGTTTCGCATCACCCCGAATAGCAAATACCTCTGCCTGCAACAGAAGCACCTCCCCAGGCTGTGGTCTCAGCCCTAGTTCTCACAGCACTTTAAGAAAGAGAGAAACGTCCTTTTCTCTGCTGCACAGTGGAGACAGAGGTGTCCAGAAATTAACTGACATGGGCTGAATCCATCCGCTGATCAGGAAGAAAAGTTAGGGTCAAAATCTGTGTGTCTGGGGTGCCACCCTGGGTCTTATCCATCAGCCAAATAACCCCTTGTAAGAAAAAAACAGGGCTTCCTTGGTCTCTTACTCCTTTCTGGCTCTATACCCCATCATCTATGGCAGGGAAATCCATAATCCTACCTGTGCTGCACAAATAATCCCTCTATTGAGATGGGAAATCCCCCTCCGGTGCAATACCATGACAGCACAGCACACAAAATCCTGAGCTGTTTACAAGCTGCTCTGGTGGGAACGATCATGAACTTTGGAAAGAGATCTGAGCTCTCCCAAAGCCGGGGCTTTTATCAGGAGAGCATCTGGGCTGTGCTGCCTCGTGTCCACTCCAGCCCCAGTTTCTCTGGTACCTAACCCTGACAGGTTTGCTTTTAATAACTCATTGCACCTCCAGATGTGAAGCAGCCTGAAGGGCGTTGTGTTTGAAAACAGAGCTCCTGAAACACAACAAATGCTTTGAAAACTACTTGTTCGTCGCTCGTGAGTAAATCGATGCACGTGGTCCATGCACCAAGTGGTCCATGCTGGAGAAGACAGAAGTAAGGCAGGAGATGGGAATCCTTACCTTCAGCTTGGGCAGTCGCTTGATGGTTTTCAGGGGCCTCAAGACCCGTAGCACACGGAGAGACTTGATGGTCTTGATATCCCGGCCCTTGTTGGTCCTACCGCATCGGAGAGAGGCACGCAGACCAAGAATTGAAACAGAGAGACAATAACCTTGCAGACCCGGGCTGGATGCTCAGGGGCTTTTCAACGGCTGACAACCCACCCCCCCAGCACGCGTGAGGACGGGAACGGAAGGGCCACGTGCCATCGTGGGGGCCAGCGATCACAAACGTGTGACTGCTGAGCGCTCAGCCCACCTAAACGAGTCCCCTCCAACACACACGCTGACAGCTGGAGATGAGAACTAAAGGAATCCTCTCCTCCTCGGGATTCCCACCTTTCCCCTTCGCTGGGGAGCAGCGACCTTAACAAATCCCTTCGTTGTGGGAAGCAACGAGATGCCAGGGCTGGGGCAGGGGACTCAACGCTCTCGCCAAGCAAGGAGAGCTGCCCGAAGGTCGCTGTGGCATGCTGCCCTCCCCCATGTCCCCAAGCCACACTGCTCGACATGGCCAGCAGGTTGGCATCCCCACTGCAGGCATGTGCCACTTGCAGACGGGGCTTGCAAAAGGCCCCCACCACTGCGAATTGTTTTCTTCCACTGCTACTGACTGCAAGGAATTCACAACAAAACGTGGGAGATGCACTCAATGGGGTCTATGTGCAGGTCTCACCAAGGGGTTTCCATCCTGGTTTAAACAGAAGATACCTGGTCTTTACGTTCACCTAGGGAAGCCCTAGCTCCGTGCTTGGTTTCTTTGCATGAATGCTGTCTCTTACAGCTTTCTGCCTTATTCCATCAGTGCTACCCAACTTGGTCAGCCTAGTCTTCCATCTCACAACATCTCAGCCCTCTCTTCCCTCTCCAGATCAGGGCTGTGCTTACCTCCGCCCCAAGTCAGCTGAGGGAGGCAGAGCTTACTATTAGAATTACTTAGAAAAGCAGCACTAAGACACTTCTTGACCCTCATTTCTTGAGTATGGGGATTAATCTGAACCACAATATGAGGGGTTTTTTTCTTGTCTGTTAACTAAAGCCCACGGGCTGGACCCGAGGATGGAGCAGAGAGGTCCTGGTGAGGGTGGCACAGTTTGTATCCACTGGGCACCCTCGAAAAATATCAAGGAAATGAGTTACAACAACAGACACTCAAAATTGCACAGCTCCTTTGCGAGGGTTAATGCAACAGGGAGCACAATAATGGGCTTAATCATTGAGAGACGTAAACAAAGCCAGTAATTAATAGTCCTCCCTAGGAGCACAGCCCCACAAATGCATAGGGAGAAATTGTACAAACAGCCCTGGGACTCACTAAGAACCTCCTGTCTCCCGCTTTGCTCGGTGTCAGGGCCTGGGTAAGCAGCTGGGGCATCCGACTTGGGGCTGGGGTGAGTATTTGAGGGCACTGCTCAGCTGGTACAAGCAGCCACCAAGGGCAACTCAGCTGCAGTGGTTTACATCTGCTGAGGGACCTCTGCAGATCTGAGGATTTGCTTTGGATCCAACGTGGATCTAGGGCTGGATAATGGCTGGAGAAAGCCTGGCCTTGCTGTGTCTGTGGCTGAGGCTGAGCTCTCCCCAGCCCCCTGAGCTTGGCATGAACCACATCCCATGCCCTTGGAGGACATCAGGGCTGAAGTCCCTGCAGCGCTTCAGTGCAGGCAAAGCCCCCGCCGGTGCAGAGCGTCAAGCTCTGCAGCAGACACCGCTTTCCCCATGCCCTGCTCCCCTGGGCGTGCTTCACACCATCTCGGGGTATCGTGCAGACACTGAGATCCACGATGAAAGCGCTCTCTTCCAAAAGCAAGGAATTGCATTGCTTGCCAAGACAATCCCGCCTGCAGGTTCCTGGAGCACACCACCTTTCCTGCATCCCGGGGCCATACGGGGTGCCCGCAGAGCGGCATACTCTGGGCTCTGCAAATGCAGCTGAGGGTCAGCACACGTGTCGGACAGACAGACACCCGCCTGTGCCTGTCCCCCCCGCACTCCCCAGAAGGGCATCCCACGGCAACCCGAATGGCATAGTTACCCCAAAGCATTCCTGTCGGCGGTCCAGCCCAGCAGCCACCAAACAGCACCAACGGAGAGAGGGAAAAAGAGAGAAGAGAGGAAGAAGGTAAGAAAAGCAGCGGGGGAGCTGCATGGGGACGACCGCAGCCTCTCGGGCAGCAGGGACCCTGTGGCAGCCCTCCACCACCCTGCGCCTGGGTGGGAAGGTACGATGAGTAGACTGCGTTATGTCCTCCAGGATGGGGCTTATCTCCAGGGAGACACTCGTCCAGCAAGCTGGGAGCCCCTGCCCTCCGTACTGGAGGTTTTGGGAGGGGGATGTGCAGTGAAACCCCTGCTGCAACAGAAACCTGCGGAGAGCGGGACGGTGGGTGACACCGAGCGGGTGCATGGTCCTCCTTGGCCATGAGTTGGGGAGGGACCCCAAGGCTCAGCCCCAACCAGCCAAAGGCAGGTGCCTCTGAGGGAACCTACCTGCAAGGCCACAGCTCCCATCCAGACAGGCTAACTTTAGTAAATCACCTCCATCAAGAAATCCACTGATTAAGAGCCTGAGCTGCAGCACAGTTGTAACCAAACCTCCATCCCCGATCCAGCTCAGTCCCAGCCACGTGCCCACAGAGGGCTCAGCACTGGGGGCAAGCTTACAAAGTAAAACATTTCTTAAAAACCATAAAAAACCATAAAAATAACCCCAGACCCTGGCTGTATGTTAGCAAAACAGGTGGAAGGTGTGTTGGAAAGGTGAGAGCTTTACTCTGCAGCACTTCCGTGCTATCAGACCTCCATCCCGACCAGCCTCACACCAGGTTATTTTGCAGCACGCAGCGGTACCTCCCTCCAGACTCGGGTACCGACAGGCACAAGGAGATGCTGCTTGCAAAGACAGAGGCAGCTCTGCTCGGTACCTCTGGGTGGAGAAACTCCCGCCCTTGCTCACCAGGTAAGATGACGAGGACTATGCACTGACCACTCAACCCTTCCTGCTGCTACAAGCCCGCAGGCAGGCGCAGGCATCATCGCCTCCCGGCAGCTCTGCAAAGCCGCAAGCGAGCGCTGCTCCTCTGCACGATGCCTCCTCGGAGGGTGCCACGGGAGGGAAAAGCGAACAGGGCCTTTAGTTATGGTTCTGGTTATTTCAGCTAATTTAATTTGAAGTCTTTGGAGATTTACGGTTTTATATTGGGCTTTTTATTTAGGCTGCGTATGGATTGACGTATTAGCTTTCCACGCGGAGAGCTACGGACGAGCCGAGCTGACCTCTCGCTCGGGCTCTGAGGGGGCAGTGGACAAGCCACGACAGCACACATGGAGATGGTTTTATGGGTGGACATTTGCTTATTGGCGATTTCAATGTGGCACTGACGGCCGGCGGATGATGGTAGCACCACTGGACCAGCTCAGAGACCTCCTGCTGCACCCACGGCTGCCCAGGACACCCGTGGGTAAACCGAAATCCAGAGAGGAGGCAAAAAAGGCAGAAAACCCGAATGGCACGGTATATCCCAGCACTTCTTCAACTGAGAAGTGCTGGACCCAGCCACCAGCTGCTCTCAGCCACATAATCGCTGCAGCCGCTCTGCAGGCATCGCTTTGCCCACCCAGCACCGTGGAGGCAAGGAGGGGGAGAGAGAGGACACGTCAAACCCCCGGCCCCACATCAAGGAGCTCATGGAGGGAGAAGAAAAGGAGAGGGATTTAAACATCACGGCCAGAGTTTTCCTCTTGAGACCAGGAAGGAGGGAGGGAGGATGGCAGGTTGGGGCACGTATAGCTGGCAAACATCCTGCGGTTCCCGGGGGCCGCGGAGGTGACAGGCTGCCAATGAGAGAGGCAGGGGTTCTTCTAAATGCTTTATAATGTATAAACCCATCAGAAATCACTGCGGTTCCTTTGTTCCCCTTACCCCCAAAGCCATGAGATCATCTACTCCAGCAGAAGCCACCGTCGGACGTGGGTGAGAGGTCCGATCCTGCAGGTTTACATTCTAAAGAGCCCTTGTCCACGACACAAGCAACTCAGTATCTACACAGCCACAGCTACAAGAGCGGGCAGGTGACACAGATGCTTGCTGCAAACGTGCACGGAGATGCAAAGGCCTTCTCCGTGGGACGGGGTTCGGTGCCGCAGCTGATGGGGTGCTCACCCTGAAGAATTCAGCTGTCCTGTGCCCAAAGGGACCTGTCCTTCCCTCGGGAGGCTGGGTGGAGGCAGGCAGGTGGCAAGCGGGGTTGGAAAGGGCACGGCAGCTTCTCCACGTGCTCAGAGCTGGCACGTGGGGACCCCGCCATTTCCAAGAGCCACCCCAGGAACCACACCACCTTTGTGGGGTGGGGGCAAGGGGACAGTAAGCACAGTAAACATGGATTACAGTACTGCTAGTGGCGGTGAGGACATCCATCCACCCAGAAGCAGGCTGAGCCATCAACGTACCCCCCTTCAGCCATCAAAAAGTCTTGATGAAACATGACTTAGAAGGAAAAGGTTCTCTCGTCCTCCTAAAGCCCCTCAAATAACCCAGCGCACCTTCAGGCTGCTGCTGCCCTTGAGATCCCCCTCTAGACATGCTCTGAGGGGCTACCCAGGCAGAGGGGGGGGATCAGCCAGACTCCAGAGATGCTCGATCCATCCTCATGGCGGCCTGGGTGGCCGCCGGGGGGCTCAGAGCAATGTCCTCGGCCAGCAGACCTGCCCCATGGCCCTTCCCCATGCCCAAACCTGCGGTCAGCCCCCTGCCCTGCCCAGGGGCTGGGTCACCCCTGTGCCCAGCGAGCTGAATTCTCCCGGGCTCTTCCCGAGGAGAGAGCAGCAGATGAAAGCACCGGGCGAGGAAGGGGGTGAGGAAGACAAAAGCACCAAGCCAGGGAGCGTGCAAGCAGGTGAGAGTGAGGGGAAGGAGCTGCCGCCCGGCCAGGGGTGAGATGGGAGGGATGGATTACAGCCTGTAATCCATCGAGTGACCTCGGGGCTCGGACCCAGCCACCCCCAGAGCCTCGCACGGTACCTGAGCTGTGGACAAGGACAGGGCTTCAGTCTGCGGGGCTGCAGGCCCTCCCCTCTCACCAGCACTAACGCCACTGCCGCCGGTGTCAAAGGCACAAAGAGAGAACAGCAGCATGACAAACCCACAGCATCTCCTCTCTTCTCCCTCCTTGGGCACTGACAGGTCACCACGGCCCCGGGGACCAGGGGGTGCCCCTTGCCCGCTCTTTGGGTGCCAGCGCATCCCTCCCCACATTCACACTGCACCACCTGCCCCAAACGGCAGCACGGAGGAGGACAGAGCAGCACAGAAGCCATCCCTAGATGCTTCTCCCCTCCATGGCACGGTCAGCACAGATATCAAGCCGCTCTGCGGAGGAGGACCCACCTGCAGGTGCCACAAGCTCCATACCAGAGCACAAGTGCAA